CTAGTGGGCCACATATTTGTTTGATAAATCAAGGAATGAAGGTCACAGGCAGGTGAGTTCCCTTAAGAAAGAAAGAACTTCCTAACAAGCCGAGCAACCTTGAGTTGCAGATAAGAATCTTCTTGCCACCCGCCTGCCTCTTGAAGGAACTCATGCAAAGCAAGGGCTCTCTAACCAGGGGAATACTTGGATTCTACAGCCTTAGAAACCACTTCTGGGTAGCACAAACAGTTAAGCGCTTATTACTAGCTGGAAAGCTGGCACCCAGAGGTGCCTAGGAAGAAAGTCCTGGCAATCTGCTTCTGAACGGTCAGAGTCTTGAAACCCCCATGGAGCACACATGTGGCCGTGAGTAGGAATCCACTTGAAAGCAATTAACAACTAACAAGAAACCACTGGGTAGGCTAACAGTTGGCCCTTGACTACCAACCTAAAGGCTGGTGGTTTGAACCCACCCAACCACACTTGGAGGAAAGGCCTGGCCATCTGCTTCTGTAAAGATTACAGCCAAGAAAGCCCTATGGAGCAGTTCTACTCTGCACACACAGGGTCACCATGAGTCAGAATGGACTCGACAGCAGCGGGTTTGGTTTAGAAACCACAGGGGAAGAACCTGAGGTCCAGGGAGTCATTGAGTCAGTGAAGAAGCGCGGCTCGATCTGGGGAGGGACAGGGGACCAGGAGACTCCAGCAGGGAGGCGGGGTATATGGCTCTGGCAGGGAAGGGCTGTGAGAAGGGGTTGGGCCTGGTGTAACTGGCACCAAGGAGCCCCCGACTCCTCCTCCTCCTCCTCCTCTTTGCTGACCTTGGAAGCCTGGGGGACTTCCAATCACTGTCTCCCAGTTCCAGACGCTGAGCCCTCCCGGTGCATGTGGGCTGCTACCCCTGCCTGGTCTCCTGCCACGCTGGCCTCCTCTCTGCTGGCTCCCACCCCAGGGCCTTGGCCCTGCTGCTCCCCCAGATCTTTTAAAGCCTGACTTCTTCTCCTCCTTCATGTCTTAACTCCATGCCCATCTGCTCGGAAGTGGCTTCCTTGACCACCTGAGCTAAAATGGCCAGCTCATCATTCCCTAAACAATCAACAAAATTCCAACTCATGGTGACCCCACGTGTTACAAAGTAGAACTGCTCCATAGAGTTTTCTTGGCTGTGGTCTTTACAGAAGCAGATCACTAGGCCTTTCTTCCGCAGTGAAGCTGGGTCGGTTTGAATTGCCAACATTTAGGTTAGCAGACAAGCACAAACCATTTATGCCACCTGGTTCCCCAAGTGCAGCCCTGGTGGCACAGCGGTTAAGAGTTTGTGCTGCTAACCAAAAGGTCGGCAGTTCAAATCCACCAGCGGCTCCTTGGAAACCCTATGGGGCAATTCTGCTCTGTCCCATAGGGTCACTATGAGTCAGAATTCAGGGTTTTGGTGTTTTTTTTTTTTTTGGCTCCCAAGTGAAGAAGCCCTGGTGGCGCAATGGTTAAGCGCTTAGCTGCGAAATGAAAGGTTGGTGGTTCAAACCTACCAGCGGCTCCACAGGAAAGACCTGGAGATCTGCTCCCGTAAAGATTACAGCCAAGAAAACCCTATAGGGGAAGTTCTGCTCTGTCCCATAGGGTCACTATGAGTCGGAATTGAGGGGGTTGGTTTTTTTTTCAGTCCCCCAAGTTAAGAAGCCCTGGTGGTGCAATGGTTAAGTGCTTGGCTGCAAAATGAAAGGTTGGTGGTTCGAACCTATCCAGTGGCTCCACAGGAAAGACCTGGAGATCTGCTCCTGTAAAGATTACAGCCAAGAAAACCCAGTGGGGAAGTTCTACTGTGTCACATGGGGTTACTGT